TTGTGTGTGTGTGTGTGTGTGGATGATTGACTGATAATTAATCCTATATGTTTGTGCAGAAGTTTATGATTTGATATCAGTTTACATGTATGTGTGTTGTTTCGTGATCGAAGCTTTTTGTGTTTGGATTATTGATGCAATGTTTTGTGTGTGTGTGTATGTGTAGATGCTTAGCTATTTGTCAGGTGGTGTCACATATCACTCCTGTCGCGTGCCTAATGTAAGGATTTCTCCTTCAGAACCAGCAGCACTCAGAGATAATTTTGTTGAGTCGTTTGGCTCGTATTGGTCTAAGGGATTCCCCGTGGCCAATATACGATCAACTTATCTCTGGAGTAGGGCAACTCAAGTATTGGCACTACAAAATATGTCAATATATATATATAAATATTTCTAGGCACACTTGGCTGGACACCCCCACTACTTACTAAAGAAAGCCCCCAGGTTATGATAGTTCATTATCATAACCATGTTAACACATATAATGAAGATACATACACATACAACTGCTAAACACTTAAGAAGGTGACATAGAGAAACCTAAGTCAGCCATGAAAATGAATGCATGTATTTAGTATAATATCTGTACAAAAACAATTGAAGTGAATTCCAGCTATCAGTGAAAGAATTTCAGCACTAATGTCTAGATCCTAAGGAAACTAGGCAGACAGCCGGTCCTGGAGGTGACATCTTCTCATCATTGGACACAGGGAGCTGTGAGGAACACAACATCATGTGAAGCATTAGACTTATCTTCTCTTTTCTCTGTCTATGATGCCTCCCTCAGCTCTGGATGATTTGACTGTCTTTGACTCTGGGAATTCTGCTCCACTGGATCAAGTAGCAAGAGTACTTCACTATACAGCAACTGTATCGTTATCTAGCAAGTCTCTATTACCAGTAAGGACACACAATGTCTTTGAGCCACATTAAGCTCTGGCACTGGTAGCTGTTTGAGGCACAATCTCCCCCATTTTTGGAGATGTCAGGAACCTTCACAGGTGTTATCTGGTGGGTAACAAGTTGGTTCTGGTGGTAGGATGTTGGTGGATGTTGGTGAGACTGTGAATCTTCTGCCAGCTCTTCAGAAAATATACATCCCAAGCATATGTAAAACTGCCCTATCCAGATTGCCTTGAAAATTTAAAGTATACAGGCACAGATTAACACATCTGGAGGCTTGAGAAGCTGGCAAGGAGAATCGCGTCAGATAGACATTTCAGGTGTTGGTACAAAAGAAGTTCCTTGTATACTGGGGCAAGGAGTAAATCGGTTTCCAAGAAACCTCAATTAACTCCGTAAATATATCCCCAAGAGATATACATTTAAAAGTGGAGTTTAGTTAAAGTAACCAGAAAAGGCAGACATAATAATGTTGTCCAATACAGGCCTATATATATAGATATAAGGGACTATATATTTCTGGGCGAGTCCAAGTTTGAATTTTGTGCAGATTACAGGTAAGACAGGTTATCAGCCTTACAAACCGATGTGTAATGACTATCATTTCACGACAGGTGGGTGGTTGTGTGTGTAGGTGTGTTTATTTTATTCTGACTGTATGTTGTAGATCCCTTGTGGATATCTGTGTGTATATATAATATTTTATGCAATTTTGTGTGTTTTTGTCTGATTATTTGATGCAAGTTTGTGTAGATTTTAATTTTATATTTTATGTGGGAGCATGGATGTTCGATTTGATTCCAGATTGTTTGTGTGAATGTTTATGTGATGTCACTGTGTGTTAGTGTGTGTGTATGCTGTTTGATGTTAGTTTGCACGTGTGGATGTTTGTATGTGTTTGTGGGTGTGTGTGTGCGCGCGCGCTTACAGATGTTTGTAGGTATGTGAATTTTATGTATGTGGATATTTGTGAATGTTTGTGTATAGAAGTTATAAGTGTGGATGTTTGACTGATATATGATGCCATTGATATGTTTTAATTGCCTGTTGGTTTGTGTTTGTCTGTTTGTGTATTTGTTTGTGTTTATGTGTGTGTATGTTTATGTGTGTATGTATGTTTATGTGTGCGTGTGTATATGCTTGTGTGTATACATAGTATACTTTGGTTCAAGGAGGACAGAAAACATGGAAGCTTTTGCATTCCTAGACAGTTATTTGAGCTCATATCTGAATTTTAATTCAAACTAAAAAACACTGCATCTTATGAGGATCTCCATCCCAATTTGGTCAAACCCTTTGCTTTGTACTGTGAAGGTCGTAGGATCACTTCACATCGGCTTTGTTCAGTTTAATTTTTATGGACATCCCTGGGGATCATTGCCTGAGCTACAGTTTCTGCTTTATTTGAGTTTATTTGTAGGGAGCTAGCTGTTCTGTGGAGAGACTGAGCTATATGGGATAAAACCTAGTGCACTAAAGTTTGATCTTTTCATCTTTGAGCTTTTACTTTTATTGCATCGTAATAACCCCTTTAAACTAATTGAGCAGCAGTAAGAGAATCTGATGAATGCATATGAGTGGCTTGGGACGAAAGAGTGAAACATAGCTTGAAAACCTAACTAATGCACATTTGAAATAAGCCTATGTGTTAGTAATTGTTGTTATGTTTGTTGTTTGATGACCTGTGCTAGACACAGCATCACTGTCCTATGTGTTAGTAATTGTTGTTATGTTTGTTGATGGATGACCTGTGCTAGACACAGCATCACTGTCCTATGTGTTAGTAATTGATGTTTGTTGTTTGATGGCCTGTGCTAGACACAGCATCACTGTCCTATGTGTGACATGTTCAAGAATGATGCGTGTGTGTTTGTGTGATCCAAACATCCATTCCTCCTGCTGCTTTTTTACTTGAGTGTGTGTTTACATGTGTGTTGAGTGTTCATTATTAGATTTGTTGAATTCTAGTATTAGTGGCTGAGTATGCCACTTATGGGATTTAGTTTGTGTGATTTGATGTGGTGTGAATGACTGATATCTGCACATTGTTTGAAGTATGATGTGTGTGCTCGCTAGCTTTTGTGCATGTGATTTATGCATAATGTATTGTTTTTTTCCTTGTATATGCTTTTTCTCTGCACATTTCGCTTGTCAACGTGGATTTCATTTTGTTTTATTCTCTTTCTATTTACATGTCTTCCATCCTGGATAAAATCATTGGCAAGCAAGAAGCTGAAGGAACAGAAAAAAAGCAAGCGTGACCCCTCCACCTGGAGTGTGGCCCCTACCTAGGGCCGGGGCACCCACCTGGAGCTGTTCCTGCCTTGATGAACCTGCCAGACTGAAAGTTGAGGAATGAAGCCATCACATATATGTGATAACATGTGTGATGTAATGTGTACATATGTGGTGTCGTGTGATTTCATTTGTACACATGTGGTGTCTGCACATGTGTGGTGTCTGTGCATGTGTGGAGTTTGTACATGGGGAGTCTGTACACATGTGGTGTCATCCCTAACCATGTGGTGTCCTCCATATGTGTGGTATCATATGGACAAATGTGATGCTTTATAAGTTGAATGATTGTGTGCAGTGATTGAGACTTAAATGATTGTGTGCAGAGATTGCGACTTGAAATATTGTGGGCAGCCTTCTTCTTCTTCTTAGTGTTCACCAGCTGTAAACTCTGGCAGAAAGTTCTGGTTTTTCATCCACTTTTGATTGCAGTCCTGTTCCAGAATTGAGTGTTGCATGTGCATCTGTTTCACAGTTCTGACCCATTTGTATGTGGACTGCTGGTTCCCTGCCTCTATGGTAGATGCACTCTGACTTTAAAGGAAGCTCTTAGTTAGTTGACTCTTACGACATGCTTTTGGGTAGGCAGTAATTCAATTCTTTGTTCCCTATAAAAGGGCCCCAGAACCCACATGGTGGCAAGCATCACTTCAGAGGTCCCGGGTTGTTAGCATTCTTTAGATATTTTCTCCAGGGAATACCAGTGTGTTGGGAAATGAGCAGGCAGATAGACTGGCTGGTTCTGCACCACTTAGTGGTGAACTGATTTATGACAAGCTGGATGTTGTAAGAACTCTTTGGGAGCGATTCAACAGTGAGGAGGCACAGATGAATCATTATGGTTTAGGGAGAATGGCGCTGCGGGGAGTTACAAGGGGATCTGGCCAGTGCTCAACTCAGGGAAAGGGCGAGACAGATATACAATCAGACAGTTACTGGTGCCATTGGTATTGGAACTTCATTTGCTGCTGAAGATGGGGATGGAGCACTTATGGAGGTGTCAAGAGTGCTGTGATGTCGATTCAAAATTCAATATTAAACCTCGAATAAAATGTAAACATTTCATGTCTGTCGTGACTATTTTCCATGTCTTCTAAAGAAAATGTACATGATCTGATATCATAGCATTGATAAAAAATATTGCGCTGAACAGTGTTCTTTTAGTGTCGTACTTCAAAATTGATGCCATTAGGCCTAAAACTTGATTGGTTTTATTGCATCTTTGTTGGATTTCTTTATTCTATAGCCTTAAGAAAAATACAAATGCTCTCTAAATATGTAAAATTCTTCACCTGCTTTAACTGGGGCTCATTAACTTTGATATTGGTGGTTCTTCCTTTTCTGGAGAATGTCATCACTTCTGTTCTGTCTTCGTTGATCTTCATATCATAGTGGTCACATTCAGAGTGGAGTCTATTAACATGTTCTTGTAGTTGTACTGCTGTTGGTGTTATGATTGCCCGGTCATCAGTGAAAAGCAATTAATTTAGTAATTCTCTGATGCTGTCCCCTTGGCTGGTATGTGTATATGTATGTGATGAACAGCAGTGGTGATAGAATGCACATCTGTCTCACTCCAGATCTAACGTAGAACTTTTCGGACATTCCTGTGTGTTCTGTGTACCGACTGTTTATAAACTCTTGCACAAATTATGTTCGTTTACTCCGTAATCATGAGGTACCTTCAATATTTATCTCTACTAACTCAAATTATTCATTACAGCAAGAAATATTAGAAATTCATTCCTGTGAACGTTGATTGTGATGACAGACATGTCTGACTGACTGACAATATGAATACTTTATTTCACAGAATCAAAAAATGTGACATTATCGCTGCCGACAACATGAGCATTATGTAATGTATTTTTGGGCACTTCTATGATGTCTCCTGGCTCCATGATCACCTGCTTACCGTGCAGACTCAAGAGAAACTTTCCAGAGGTGATGGCATCCATTTTGGTCATGCTGTGTGTGTGGTCAGGAAAGTCAGACCCTGGAGAGAACACATATTTAGTGCATCGATACCCCATGGATTCTAGTTTTTTTCTCATGTTCTCATCACTGAGGACTCCATCGCGAGCTGTGTCCCACTTCTGAAGATGTATTTCTGTGGACATTTCCAATGCTTGTTGTTGTTCAGTGATGTTCCTGTCAATAAAATAAACACTCTATGTTAAATTTCAACCAATTTTGTGTTATCTTCTTCTTCGCGTTCACCAGCTGTACACTCTGGCGGAAGGTTCTGGTTGCTCGTCCACTACTGAACTGCAGTCCTACTCCAGAACCTGAGTGTTGCGTGTGCATCAGTTTTACAGATCTCATTCTCTTGAATACAGACTGTCGGTTCCTTGCCTCTCCGGCAGATGCACTCCGACTTCAAAGGAAGCTCCCCAATTAGTCGACTCTTACGACATGCTTTTGGGGAGGCAGTGAGTCTATTCTTGTTTTCCCCACAATGGGGCCCCGGAACCCACACGGGGAAATTTTGTGTTATATTTCTTCCTCTTCTGCAATCATCGTTAAAAAAAAAGGGTGGTTGGCATGTTGTATTGTGGTTTACAGCTAGGCAGCTGACGTATTCAGCAAAAACACATCCAATTTCAGCAAATCCCAAATTAGTCACCTTTCACAACATGCAAGCTAGAGGGCAGTTTTCTATTCTTCCTTCTTCCCTCTGCCTCAATAGGGGCCCTGGAACCCACATGAGAATGTTTAACCTTTGATAAGTCTGGTAACTATGGTGATACAGTTGCTAGCAGACTTGCTTGCTGGTTATGGGTGCTAATCCACTCCGAGGCAGACTTGTTTTTCTTCTTCTTTGCTGTAATGGGGGATATTTTCACCCTGATTAGGAAGGTTGGGGGGGGGGGGGGGGGGGGGGGGGGGCAAAGGTTAACCAAAACCAAAATACTGAGAGAAGCCAGATACTCGTATTAACCGAGGTTTTCAAGATAGGTGATGACCACTAGTTATCACGTGAACCCCGATGATAGTGACCACAGGTCGCCACGTGGAAGTAAAGGACCACCACGTGTTCCCATGTGAAACTAACACGGGGTATAATTTCAGATCCCAGTCTGATCAAGTTAGTATGTGTTGAACTGTCTGAGTGAAAGGACGGGAGAGTGATTGAGAGAATGCCAAAGTGAGACTGATTGATATGAGAGGAGAACCAGTTGACGACATCCATTTGAAGCCAAGACCAGCCAGGCCAGTCTGTATGATGTCAAGGAGAAGAACCAGATACATCTGTGCAAACTCTGGTCAGTGACTGTGTGAGAAGCCAGCATGTTGAAGTCTGCATAATGTGGTGTGTGAAAGCTGTTTCTTAGGACAAGAACAAGACGTTCATGTGAGTGTTAAGATGTCAATAAATTGACGAATCGTGATGCTTAGACGGTGTCGGCTTGTCCCAGTTATGTCAGAATGTGTGCTAAGAGCATTCACTACACACATCATCTCCTAGACAGCAAACCAGTGCAAGCAGAGTTAGTCTAAACACAGCTCATTGCATTTGCATTCGGTTTCCTATGCTCAAATCAGACAGACATCAGGTGGGTTGCCTCTATGAACTTGCATGTCAGTAGCAGGTCCGTCATGGTTCCCCATACATTGCTCTGCACACTCTGCTCTTGAAGCCAGGTGTCTTTCAAAGTTGTAGGTAGAGTGGGCGGGTCTGCAGAATGTGCTCAGGTGTTTGTGGTCCTGTTTGACAGGCACACTGTAGGGACTACAATCTTTTATTTTATGCATGTGGTAGTTGACCCTGCAGTGTCCTGTTCGTAGACGGAAATTGTTATATGCTGTTTTCTGTTGAGTCTGCTGATGGGGTCATGGATATTTACTGTTAGTTTGCTCTCTCCACAATTCCTTGTATTTTCCTTTGATTAGTGTTCTGATTTCTGGTAATGACAATGAATGGGTGTGTTTCTCCTTTGTTCCATTTTTTGCAAGCCTGTCTGGTAACTCATTTCCCGGTATGCCACAGCATGATGACCGATCGAGCCACTCCGGGTTTTTTTTCTGCTCCCTCCAATGTTCCATCGATGTATACGTGTGTCCATTCGGGGTTTTGGATAACAGTTATGTTCAAGGGTCTTTGCATGCAGTATTAGGTCACATTCTTCAGCCTTTCTGTCCATGCCTGGAATTGTTGTTGTGACTGTATAGTAGGCTGCAGGTCTATGTTGTATACCTGGATCATTTCTCATGTTGAAGGATCTTTAGAAAGGATGTCACTGTTTTTTGTGTAGTACAATTTTTATAGATGGTGAAAGCTTTGTCTTTTCAGTCGGTTTTTAGTTATTTACATTATGCGCATAGAGTTCATGCATTAAAATTTTTCTGTTAGGGTAAGCACCTTTTCTTCCCATCAAAGGCTTAAGCTCTGGAGGCCAGAAGTTGCCTCCAGCTCATTGATTGGTGTGCTTCTCATACCTCCATTGATGATTCTGAGACCAGTGTTCTGTATTTTGTCCAGTTTGTGTAGGTCTGATTCGGCTGCAATGGAGTATGCACCCATGCCATACTCCAGTTTTGGTCTAAGTATCCTGTGTATACGTCCTACAGTTTTGGCATCTGCACCCCAGCTTGTTCCAGTAAGTTTCTTCAGTCTGAACCTCAGGGTAGCTTTCCTCTGGGTGTCTTCAATGTGGATGCCCCAGGGTAGTCTTTTGTCAAGTTTTACTCCCAAATATGTGTGGTTATCCTCTTTTAGAAGGATGTTGCCTCCTAGGTACAGACCAACCTGTTCTGGCTTTGAGGAAAGAGAGAAGAGAGTTGAGACAGTTTTAGTCTAGTTTATTGTCTTCTTCTTCTTCGCGTTCACCAGCTGTACACTCTGGCGTAATGTTCTGGTTGTTCGTCCACTTCTGGACTGCAGTCCCGCTCCAGAACCTGAGTGTTGCGTGTGCATCAGTTTTACAGTTCTGATTCAATTGAATGCAGACTGCTGGTTCCTTGCCTCTCAGGCAGATGCACTCCGACTTCAAAGGAAGCTCCCCAGTTAGTCGACTCTTACGACATGCTTTTGGGGAGGCAGTGGGTCTATTCTTGTTTTCCCCACAATAGGGCCCCAGAACCCACATGGGGGATAGTTTATTGTGACTCCCCAAGAGTCTGTCCATTTCCTAACTGTATTTATAGCTTCCTGCATTCTTGTTTTAGTTGTTCCTATGTGTTCGGCTTGGGTCCGTATGTCCAGGTCATGTGCATGTAGGGCCTTGTGAATGTGTCGTGAACTTTTGTGGAAGGTCATTGATGAAAAAAATAAACAGGGTAGGAGAAATAACACCTCCCTGGGAGATACCTTCTTGTAACCTGACTAACTTGCTCTTGTGGTCTTCCAGTCTGACTGTCGCACAGCGTCTGTAAAAAAAAAAAAGTCTCTAATCCAGGCAAACATGTGCTCTTTTATCCACCTGTTTGCTAGTTTTAGCAAGAGGCCTTTCTTCCAGGCCTTATTAAAGGCTTTGGTCAGGTAGAGGAAAGTACCTAGCAGTTTGTATTTTTTCCAGAAAGCATATTCTCTATCCTGTGCAAGATAGAGGTTTGGTTATCAGTGCTTCTGTATCTCCTGAAGCCTGACTGACTGTCATCCAATATCTTGTTTTCTTCCAGGAAATTAAGTAACCTGTTGTTAATTAATCTTTCCATGGTCTTTTTAAGGCAGCTTATGGGGCAGTAACAGAATTTGTTTTACTTGGGCTTTCCTTTCTTGGCTCCTTCCATTCCTTAGGAAGTAGTCCCTGGGCCCAGGATTGATTTATAAGGCCTACCAGCTAGTCCCAAGTGTACTATCATTTCATTTATTTGATCAGGTCCAGGTGTCTTCCTTTTCCTAAGGTTTCATAATGCGCATTTAAGTTATTGGGGACTGAAGAGTTTATTCATTAAATCTTGGTTTTCTTGCTTTTTGTTTAACTATTCTGGGCTCTTAGATTTAATCTTAATTTTTGGGGGGGGGGGAAGAAGAGCTGCTGAATTGGCAGATTGAGCATGCATGGGAACACCTTTCTAAGCGTTATGTGAAATATGTTAAAATATCCAGTCGAGTGGATGATAAAATAAAGCGGTCTGGCCTTTGCCAATTTAGAATCTTTATCTTTTTTTGCCCCACATCTCCAAATGAGGCATAATCTCGACCAGCTGATACAAAGCATGTTACCAACCACTGCAGCACCCTCTAACTGTGGTGTTGCAAGGTCAGGCAGTACCCAGTGCAGAGAACTGCTTGTCAACTACCCTCCCCATTACATACATTTTGTTTGTTCTGAAAACATTTCTGCCATAGCCCAGATGAGTGGCTGGCCAAATAGTTAGAATCAGTGAAGGTTGCATGTGGCCATAAATCCTTAGGCTCAAAGCCGCCCCCCCCCCCCACCCCCCTTTTTTTTTTTTACATCGCAAAAAGTGGTATATAAAATAAAAGAAGCAGTAAGTGGAAGTTTTTGGCCACTTCTTCACACCCAGTCGGTAAGATATACAGGGTGACCTGTACCCTCTACTTTCCAATAGCACTGCGTCTGTGTGCTGTCCATATTTTTCATGTCTCCTTTCTGTTTACTTTTAGGTCTCCCTCTATTTCTCTTGCTCTGAGAGTTCCAGAAAAAGAACTTTCTAATTATACAGTACTAGAAATAATTCTTCTCAGTGTATGTCCTACTTGGTGCCAGTATCCTCTGTTCACTTACTGATTTGCTGAAATGTGTTTAGCTCTCTGTCTAAGTTGTGCATTAGATGATACTATTTCAGTCCTATTCTGTGCTGGCAACTGTTTAATGAATGTTCAATTTACTGTCAGGGTTTTATAATCTGAACTATTTATTACAGCTAAAAAAAGCTCCTCTTGTCGTCTGTGTATATTTTTTTTTCTCAAATCTCTATCCTCCATCTTTGTCTACATTTCTACCCTAATATGTATTTAATTCAGCTTAAAATATGTCAGCTTTGTGGCTAAGTCGATGCGAACGCTTCATAATGCTGGGATGCCGGGTTTGATCCCTGCTACAGGCCATAAGCCTTGCGTTGGTTTTGACAGTGGTATCAAGAAAGCCAACCGTCTAGAATGCAATGGCAAACAACTGGATGTAAATTTGCCTAGAAAAACCACAACAGC